AGTGCGCGTCATTCTCCTGGAGCCTGTGGAGGGCAAAAAAAGCCTCCCCCCCGGAGACTCTCCAGAGGCCTGAAATGGCCCATTTTCCGACTTCTGATGGGCCCAGTTTGTCTGTTTTTTGCCCTCCCCAAGCTCCAGAGGCTTTCTAGGAGCCTGGTGAGGGCATAAAATGGGCCATCATGCAAACTGGAAGTTTGTTCCCAAACTTCCAATTTGCATGTTGGATGGTTTTTTGCCCTCTGGAGGCTTTAGGGAAGCCTCCGGAGGGTGAAAAGGAAGAAAATCAAGACCAAAAATCAGCTGGCCAGCGCATGCATACATGCTGGAGCTGGCAGGGTAACGCCTCACATGCCCTCAGAAATGGCTCTGCGTGCCACTTGTGGCATGCGTGTCATAGGTTCGCCATCATGGATCTAGGCCATAAAGAAATCCTTATTTCCAGATTTCTATTTCCAGTTCCTTTTAATATGCTTTCTTTCTTTTCTTCCTTTCTTTTTTTTCCTTATTTTATTTTACTGTATGTCCTTTCAATCAGTCCATTCTTCTCCTGTGTTAACTTTCAGGTTCCCCTTATTATTATAGTGCCACATCCCGGGGCTCCGCACCTCCCACTGCTGCCGCTGCCTATGACCGCCACTAACTACCATGGAAACCACATGAAACTGCAGGGTGACAGCCTAGGCCTCCATATCGTCCCTGTCTGATGGACATTCTGCGCCACCTGGAAGAAAACGGCATCCCTCCCCTCCACCTTCTATCCCTCAGTATTTTTTCAGATGGCAGAATTTACTGACATCCCAAGACAGAAAATGTCATATATCCCTTGCAAACTAGCCAAGCTACTCCACTGGGTAATGGCAAAACCAAGTTTGTGGCCAGTGGTTCTGCTGTCTTCTGTTGCTAACGCCACTGCAATATTTCAGACTCCATCTTGGTGAATTCTTCAATTTCTTCCACATGAGTCTTCTCTAACTGTAAGAAGAATGGAGAGTGACTATGGGCAGTCAGTAGCAGAGGAGAAGGTTACTTAGAATTCATTGTCCCCCCTCCCCTTAAAAATGATCGTCTATGAAAAAAGAACTTGGAATGATCAACAGTCAAATTTCCAGAAGCATGAGGGAAACACACGGCTCAGCCTAACGAAGGGGGAAAAGACGGTGCGTCATCTGCTGTATTTCACAAACATTTCCTTGTGTGGTACCTTCCCTCTCATTCCTATCTAGGTTGGTTGAAGTAATTAGGTCTTGCTTTCTTCTCATTTGAAGATTGACCATTTCCATCCTATTTGTCAAAACCTTTACAAAGCGGAAGGTGAACAAGCAATCACCCCCATAAATCATGTAGAGTCAAGTCCAAAAGAAGGATGGCGAGATGTCAACCAACCATCGAAATGAAGAACTATACAAGTGGATATATAACTATAACTGCTTTTAATGCTTTGTCCTGAAAAGTCTATTCAATGGAGGAGGAAAATAAATAATACCCCAGTTTTCTGAGAAAGTAAAGTCATGATAGAGTAAGCTGAAATACCACCCCAATTTCAATGATAGTCACATTTTCCTGGGTTTCATTCTTTTCCTTTTATGCACGTAGGAATATCCATGTATGGCAGAGAGGCGAGCGAGTACATTTTGTGTGCAGCCATTCTGTACAATATACAAATTTGGCAAAAATTCAGAAAAAAAATGAACATCCATTCTTGATGCGAAACGTGCATTTGATTAGTTGCCAGCCAAAATATATTGCTTTTTGCTGGGCAATTTAATAGTTTGGGCAACTGACAACGAATCCAAATAATTTCATTTAGAGCAGAGATGATTATTTTGGTTCTCTACCTTTCAGTTTCTGCCATTCCCAGAGAAAACATCAGGATGGAATTAAAGAATGACAAATGATATATTGCAAAAGAAATATTGAAATAGAGAAAAAAAATTAGATTTCACTTCTAGAATGTTATGCCTTCTCTTCTTATTGAGAGTAACAAAAGAAAGGACAAATTGTTGACAAATTGGTTGCCACTTGATTTGAGAATGGGCAGATAAGCAATTGTGCCATTGCCAATTCATGCTAAATCTAGAATTTCAAACTCATTTTCAAATTGCCATCTAATGCCACAGACAATATATTGTTAAAAAAAAAAATCACACACAAAGCCTATCACCCGTCTCAGGGGTGTCAAACTCAGTTTCATTGAGGGCCACATCAGGGTTGTGTTTGACTTTGGGGGGGTAGAGTGGGTATGGCCAGGATGGGCATGGCCAGCTTGATTTCATTCATGTCAGGG